CTCAAGTCCTGTGTCACATTTTCTGTCTTCACGTAGATAACTTCTTATACCCTGGAGCATCTTTAATGGCCCTGTCACCTAAAGTGTGTGCTTAGACAACTGAATTGAGCAGTGGTGATAGCGAGAGCATAGATATACAGCTCACTGCCACAAGCATCCATTTAAGTGTCTTAATGTGAAAACTAAATCCCCCCTTTGTTATCTGTTTTTTAGAGTACAAAATCCTAGGTTTTAATCCCTGCTCTTCAGACAATTTCTGGTGTTGTCCAACGACTGTTAGATGTAGCTTGAGTAAACACCACTGAGTTTTGTAATAAACCAGGATGACTGAGACAATTCCTGGAGGATTTACAACCAGGTTACAGGAAACCTTACTGCATCTTGGACTTAAACTAAATCTTAAAGTACTTAATAGGTATGACCACATCTAGCTTTTACCTATCTGACCTCCAGACAGGAATACCAAACCCATAGAAAGTATCTGTGCTCTTTGCTGAGTGTAGGATGTCTCAAAAAAACAATCTCAAAATCCCATGTGTTGAGCATAACACATTGTATAACTAAACAGAAAACACTTAAAAAAATAACCCAGCCTGATCTGTCATTGCTCCCCAAAGTGTGTCACCTGAGTTACACTTACAGTTTTAGAATGGACAGTTCAGTGATATTTCTTTTGTCTTGCAGATCCTTTTTGTAAATAAATGTACTTTGGAATTTGGCAAAATGATAAGTTTTGCAAATGCAAATTGTTCAGCCTTATAAATACAAATATATATATATATGCACATAAAATTAAATTATATATTTATATGGTTGAATTAGCAGTGCTTATTTATTGGTAGCCTAATATCAGTTTATGAGTTTGTAATTTGTTTTTCTTCTGCATTCTTAGATTCCTGAGTGGCTGTCTTTTCTACCTATCTCCATCTGTTTTAAAAGAATTTTGTGGTAGAGTGTCTCTTTTTATGAGAGTAGAAAAATGATGAGACGAGGAAAATAAATTTTTATTCTAGTGCTGTTCATTCACTGTTCTACTCACTGAAGAATTTTACATGCCTACTAGTGACAGCAGTGGGTGGGATTTTGAAGTGAACTGTCTCAGGATATTTTTGTAAGCCTAATTTGGAATCTTTTCATAATATGTTTGTCATTTACTGATTTTACAAGTTATTGCTTATATATGTTGGTACCAGTGGGAAAAAAAAATTATACCTTTTTTTAATCTTGTAATAAATATTTTTTTCATTCAGTACTGATACAGAGTAACACTAAATAGTTTACTGTGGTGCAATATTCAGCTGTGTTCACATAATCTTAGGAAAATATGGGTTGGAGGAGACCTCAAGGTATCCAGTCCAACCTCTTGGTTGAATCAAGGTTAGCTGTGGGGTCAAACCAGTGTTGATCAAATCAACATTGTGTGTTGGTGTTTTATTAGTCAGTCAAGTATTGACTTGACTGTCATCATGGTCAAAAAATGTTTCCTCGTATACAGTCTGAACTTGTATATTGTTGCTTCATTTATGACGTATCTTCAGTCTTCCCACCACCCAGAGCCTGGACCTATCTCCTTGATACGTTTCCCACAGGCACTGGAAGCCGCTGTTAGGTCCCCTGAAACCATCTCTTTCCCAGGCTGAAGAAGCTCAGCTCCCTTATCCCAGCTCACGGCACAGATGCTCTAGGCCCAGCCACCTTGGTAACCTCCTGCTGAACACGCTTCAGTTTATCAGCATCTTTTTGCCGTGGCCCCAAAATGGGCTGTAGTAGTCTAGATGCAGATTAATGAGTGCTGGTTATAGGGAGGTAATCCCTTCCTCAGTCTGTGCTTCTTCTGACACAGCACAGGTTGCTGTGTGCCTTCACTACTGCCATGGCCACTGCCAGTTTACAGTCAGCTCGCTGCCTGTCAGGGCCCCTAAGGACTTTGCCTGCGGAACTTCTCCCCAGCCAGGCACTCCTGTATCACTGCAGAGGTCTCTTACTTCCCAGGTTGGGCACTTAGCACTTGTACTTCCTTTCATAGTCTCCTGTCAGCCCATTCTTCCAACAATCATCAATGGCATCCATGCCCTCAAGGACTCCGAATTTCATGACATCTGCAAATGTGATAAGGGTCAACCCTCCTCCAGGTCACTGGTAAAGTTGTTAAACAGGCCACATCCCCTGACAGCTCCCTGTGTTTCTCTGCTTGTGACGGTAATCCAGGTAAATTGCAGCTACACTGTGAGCTTGATGAGCAAATAATTTTTTTACCCACCTGGTTTTTAGCCCATCCTTGCTTTGCAAGGACACTGACCAATTCTGTCAGCACCCATGTATCTGAATCACCTGATTCCACAGTGAGAAAATATATGAGCTGAAATATGACAAAAATCATAACTTGATCTTCAGCTACCCCAACAGTCCCTGCCATTGAACATGTTCACCTAAGCAGGAGGGCCAGGAGACCTTGTTGAAGGCTGAGACTAAA